CAATTGCATCTAGAGCATCATTGTATATCTTCTTAAATGGTACAAATTTGAAATTTGAATGAGGAGTGGGTGCTTGCTATTCTACTAGACCTCTTTTATAAGTGCATTGAATAGTGTCTTTGGAAGTGTCTTAAATCATTTTTAAAATAAGCCAATTTTAATCAATGGGGGAGGCTTTTATAACTAGGGGGTAGAATTAATGTTACGAACTGAATAATCTAAATTCTGAGATTAATATGGTTTAAATAATTGTATTACTCAAAGTATGGATTATTATTAATTAAGTTAAAATTGTTAAATTACTATTATATGATTATTTTATATGTTGTTTAATAATTTAATTTGTTTGTTATTATATTTAAATTTAATTTACCTTATAAAAAATTAATTATTATAAAAATTAATATTATACTATAAAACATTAATAAAAAAAAAGAAGATCATCATTCAAGTTATTACAATTTTTACAATTAATTTTATTCCTCATCTTCAACATCCATCCATGTTTCTTTTTCTAATTGATCTTATAATTCTAAAGTAGCTGTCCAAATTTCCTAATTTATTTATTATTATTATATACTTAATCTTCCTTAGCATCAGGTAATTGTAGAATACCATTCACTATTTTTTAACTTTCTTCATATTTCTATCCCTTCCACAATGCAAAAGCAAGCATATATAAACTTTCTGGATCTTCAGCATTTCTATCTACTAACATTCTCAATATTTTAATTGATTAATTAAATAATTCCACTTCCACTAATAATTTACCAACTTATAATATAAAGTCTTCATCATATTCTTCCATTTCTACTTCCAATTTTTCGTAGATTACTCTTAAATCATTTTTAGCAGCTTCTTCATCTTCTTTATTAAGATGGAAATTAGCCAATTATAGAAATGCATCTAAATTTATAGGATCATATTTAAATGCATTATTTATTGCATCAATACAAGTTTATTCTGATTCTTTAAATTATAATAAATCTGTTTAATAGACTTCAGCTATTGCAGCAAAAGCATCACCAATATCCCTCTTAGAAGCATTCTTCTGTAAAGCCAATTAAATTCCATACTCATATATTTAAATGGCCTATTTTCCTTATTAAGTCTGTGCATATTTAAACAATAATTTATAACAATGTTCATATGAACTAGTTAATTTAATTTGTGGACATACGTGATTAATTCTTATTAATTTAAATAAGGAGTAAGAGCTTGTTATAATTCCTCTATAAGGCCCATCTATTCTAAGCAATCTGTGTATTGATCTAATGCTTCAATGTTTTTAGGGTTTCTTTTGAGGTACATCTAATATGTAGATTTTGCTTATTCGAGATGAAGAGCTTCATATAAATCATTTGCAAAATTAAGAAGGGTCTCACTTGAATAATATCAAACATCTTACTTATCCATTGCAGATACCTTATCCCAATCTATAGTACTCTCTTCCATTTTTAATCTTTTTTTAATTTTAATTAAATTTTTTTTAGAAGAAATTCTCTTTCATATAAAATTTGGAATAAAAAAATACCATATAAAAACAAAAAAAAATCAATTCTTTCTACGTCTATTATGCTTTTTCTTTTAAACCTTTTTTAGGTCTTCTTAATAAAATTCTTTACGATTATTAATAATTTCTCCATCTTAAACAAGCAATGCATCCTAAGTTTAAAATGCTTATGTCTTAAAAACAGGATGTTTAAGCTTAATATTATCTATTTCATTAGCTAAATTCATAGAATTATCCCATTTTCCTTTAGAGAAATTGACTCTTGACTCTTTTAATTGTTGAGTTATAGAATCTAAAAGACCCTTATCTATGACATCAATCTCTTTTCCATCTATTTACTTTTTTTCCTTTTATGCATTAATTAAATAAAATATCTCATTAATTTCGTTTTCACATTTTCTAGAATAATATAGATCCCAAGGTAATTGAGTTAATTCTTTTTATGAATCTAAGACATTAATAATAATGATTCCTTATGGTGTAAGTAATGTCTTGAGTTTATTAAGAAATTCAGTAGATAAGAACTATTTAGGTGGTGATAATTAATTTGCTTGAGATGCTAAAATATAATAAATAAAAATTACCATTTATATCAACAATGATGGTATCATATTGATGACATTCTAAAGTTTAATCTACATAATCAAGTGCATCACAACATACTAAAGTTTCTGAATCTGTATTTTTAAAATCAAAGAATGTTTTAGCAACATTTACAATATCTTCACTTAATTCAATATTAGTAACCTTGACTCCAAAATGTTCATTAATAAATCTACTCAATAAACCAACACCTCCACCTAAAATAAGAACTTCTTTAGCTTTATTAAATGCTAATCCTGCAACAATAGCAACATATGCTTCAAAATCTAGATATGAATTATCTACTTTATTATTAATAATTTTGGCCTCACTCTAAATTAAATCTAAAGCGCTTTTAATTATTAGTCTTCTATATTTAATATCATCAATATTTAGTTCTTCTACAATACAATCATCTGCTTCAAATATGATATTTTTTTCTCCAATTTCATCTCCATCTGTTAAAAATGGACAGGGAATATTAGTACATCCTTTAGGTATTAATTATTTCATAGGTTCAGATAATTCTTATTACACTTATTTCATATTATTAAATTTATGACCTGGATTCATACGAGCTATTACACATCTTGACATTTTCATTTATTTAATTAATTCTTTATGTCCCTATTCAGTTCCAAATAAGAAAGACTGTTCTCTTCCTTAAGGAACAATAAAACATCCACAAGTTTTCTATAATAAAATTTTGCTATCATCATTATCATAGATATCTAATTTATATCTAGGAGTTTATTTATTATTGTTATCCCAAATATCTAAGGTAAAACTTTGACTTTACCTAAGTTTATGTATTGATGTAACAAAATGGTTCTATAATTATATCTTTTTTATTATTTCTTAAGCTTATTTAATAGATAAAATCTAAACTTCTTTTTGTAATTAATAAAATTATATAGATTTTTAATCACTTTTATCAATAACAATAAAAAAAGGATATAGTTTACTTTTTTCAATGATGCATTCATAAATTTGAATATTAACTTGTAATTACAATAAAGTTTTTAGAATATGTTCTTATAATAAAGAAATAATGATAAATTTTCCATTCTTTTTTAATATTCTGAGCATATTAGCCAAATAAGTATTAACTTAAGGTGTTTCTTCATCTGGAAATATAGCATCAAGAGTTCCTTTATCTAAAATAACATCGAATTATTCAGATTAAATATTGATTTCTTCAGTTAAAGACATACATTAAAATGACATTTCAGGTCTTTTATTTTCAGATCTCTTACGCATTTAATCTAATGACTAAAATGTTTAAGTAATCAATAATTACAATTTTTTCATAATCAACATTTGTTATATTTTTACAAATACCATTATCATATAGTTATTCTGATAATAATGATTTACCACAACCAGCATGAAAAACATTATCTTCCATTTTTATATATTTTTTAAACAAATGATTATAGCTATCATAATTGCCATACCACTCAAAGAATTCATTTTATTAACCCTCTTTCTTTATCTTTTTGAAGAATCGTTACCAATATTGTTTATTCATAAAATCTCTACATTATGTAGGTAATACTCCTTGCATTTACCACAAAAATTAATTTAATAATAAATGAACGACCTACGAATGCATAAGTTATAACAATTCTTCTCTAAATCAAACATCTATCAAAATAATTCGATTTAATAAATAGAAAGATAGAAATTGACTATCTCTAATGATGTAGAACTTAAAGATTAATCATAAATTGAAGAAAAGATGATTCATGTTGTTCGTCCTTATTAAACTGATTTTGATAAAGAAATGTGTAAAAATCATTTTAAATATATTAGATCTTATGGCTAAACCATTGATATAACCATTAATTTAATTGAATATTGTTAGTAAACCTGAAATCAATAATGTCAATCTATCACACTAATTACATAACTAATTAGACAAAGCAATTAAAAGATCTGAGAATTTTCTAACTCTTAAAAAATAACCAAATCACTTTCTTAATCAATTGAGATAATAAAATAAACAAAATCAATTAACAGAAAAGAAATAGCAAAATTCTGCTCCTAAAAAAGAAATCAAACAGATCGATTCTAATGATTATGATTTTAAAGCAATTAATAAAAGACCATTACCTGATTAAACTACAGGAATTAAACTTCCAAAATCAATCAAAGATATCTATTAAATTGGATAAACTGTTGATGATGTATAAGCTAATGATGAATCTTTTATTTTTAAAGAAGAACCAATCTCATAGTAACAAGTAAATAAAATAGATTTTGATTGTCTTTTAAATATAGCTGCTGGTTAAGTAGATGAACATACAATGGCTGAATTAGTTAAAAATGTTATTATTGCCAAAAAAAAGGAACATAATAATCCTCTATTAAATAGTTCTATAGAATAATGTGATGTATCTGTGGAAGCTTATCCAATCAAATAAGATTAATATGTTTAAATGTCATCTAAAGCTTTACCAAATATATAAACAGTTTTAAATGGAATTCGTTTAGCCAAGAATTAATACTATTAAAGTTAAGAAAAATAAGAATGTAAAGCAATCATACGTTCACATTTAGAAGAATTAATGTAAATATTGATGTAAGGATATCCAGAATAATCTGGAATGAGTTAATCACTTGATTTTTTATTATCCTTGAATAAATCTGAACTATCACTTCCATATGAAGGGATGAGTAAATTGGAATTACTCTATATTTTTGTCAATGAATATAAAGCTCTTTAAATGCTTGAATAAACTTAATCATCATCAAATTAATTCAATTAAACTATAAATAGACGATATTTAAAATCTACAAAGGCAGCTTAAATGAAAACAATTAAAAAAAAATGAAATTCATTTTACTTTTACTATATAATATATATATTATATTTTTTAGTTATCAAATATTTTATCTTCTGATGATTTCATTCGATAAAATATTAGAAGAGAAGATTGGATCAGGAATTTACTAACTTAGAACAGTTAGTATTATAGGATTAATAGAGTTTTGTGATGGAGTTGAATATGTTTTTATGTCAATTTTGATGGCAATATTAAAAAACGAATGGCAATTATCTTAAACTTAAGTTGCAACATTAGGATCTTCTTTTCTTGGAGGAGTGGTTTTAGGAAATTGCATATGTGCTTATATTACAGATAGAATTGGTAGGAAAACATCATTTTCAATATTTGCAGGACTTTCAGTGATATTAGTATATTATACTAGTTTTGCTGAGTCTTATAATGAAATTATTATTCTTAGATTATTATTTGGTATAGTGTTTGGAACAACAAGTCCATTAGGTTATGTATTTATAACTGAGGTTGCTGTTGCTAAATATAGAGGAAGATTTGCATTTTCATTAACATTAATGTATGTTGCAGGAAAAGCTTATTTAGTATTTTTGTGTTTTTTCTTTCTTGATGATTATACAAGTGGGAATTGGAGAGGATTAATAAGATTTAATGGAATACCAGTTTTATTATGCTTTATATTATCTATTATATATTTAAAAGAAACTATTAGATATTATTTAAATAAGGGTTAGTACACAATAGCATTCTAAGAGATAGAAGAAGTATAAAAATAAAATAATAATTATTAAGAACCATTAAATGAAAGGGAAAAGGATGGATTAATTGCTTGGTAAGTAAGATAAAATAATTTGATGATTAAAGAAAATGAAAATGAAAAAAGTGGAGTATTATCTAAATAACATCTTAGAATTACACTTTAATTATGGACTTTATTAATTCTAGCAAATTTTTAAAATTTAAGTATTTATTTATTGATGCCATTTTTATTTGCATAAGAAAATTCAGGATTTGAATATATGCTATATTTGTTTTTAATTGAATTTGTATTTACATTTGTAATCTACTTATTTATAGATGATCCAAAATATGGAGGAAGAGTAAATATCATTATATATGCTTCTATTTTATTAGTAATAACCAATTTATTACTTTACATATATCAGGCTTCATTTTTATTTGTAGGAATGCTTTTAATTAAGATAGCAACTAGAGGGATGTTCTCTACTCTATTTATTATATGTTGTGAAAGTTATCCACTTCATTTAAGATCAAGAGGGAGTGGATTAGCTATGGCTGTAGGAAAAGTTGTTTCAATTCCATCACCATATGTTCTTTTTCCTCTTTTTGCTATAGATCCTTATCTACCATTTTTAATTTTAAGTGTATTGGGAACACTTATGATTGCATTATCAATTACATATCCATCTGATAGAACATAAAAACATTTAGAAGTTTACAGTGACGAATAAAAAGAAGAATGATTTATTATTTATTTATTGTCTAATATATCATAATCCATCTGGATATTATGCTTATGTAAACCAGGGATGATAAAGGGCATCTTTAGCTGAAGGTCTTAAAATTATTTAAATATTATTATTATACCTTTTTGATGGATCAATGTGTAATAACTATTTTACAAAATCTAAAAAGAACATATCATCAGTCTTAAGTCTAGCTTTTAGATTTGATTTTTTAGGAACCAATATTTAAATTAATCCAGTCTTTTTTCTTTTTACTGAGGCATCTGACATATCAGGATTTGGAAAATGTTATTATTAATCTTCCATTGCATCTTGATATAGTAATTTCTCCTTTGTGAAGAATTAATTAACTAATCTACCCTCTTTAAGCATATTTTCAGGGAATGGACCAATTATACCAATAACTCTAGCTAATAAGCCTTATACAGTATCATTTTAAAATAAAACATATCCTGTCCATAATTCAGCTAAAATACAACCAAGTGACCACATATCAATTTTATAATCATATTTGCATCCAATTATAACTTCAGGTGCTCTATAACTTCTTGATTAAACATAACTAGATAAATGATCATGAATGAAACATGAAGATCCAAAATCAATTACTTTACATTCACATTTGCTAATAGATTTCATTAATATATTTTCAGGTTTTAAATCACAATGAATTAATTTTAGAGAATGTATATAATCTAATGCAACTAAGATTTGTTTGGTTAACTAAATTAATATAGGATTGATATACTTTTTATAATCTTCCAACTGTAAAATAATTGACTTTTTCTTTTTCTCTGAAGTACTTATAGAATTCATACAGATTATCTTTGAGTAATTCAGTAACTAAAAATAAATGTTCTTTATGATAAAAGAAATCATATAAACGAAGTACATTTTTAGCATCACAATCTCCATTACAATTTATATATCTTAATAATTTAATTTCATCTATGCTCTAATCCATATAATCTTTATTATTTTCTATAATCTTCATGCATACTTCTTTTTAAGATTATAAATCTAAACATTTAACTGCTTTTGAAAATGCTGCTGATCCCAAATATTCTAATATTTGATATCTACCAGCTATGATTGAATTAATAACAATAGGAAAATCTTTAGTTTCTTCAAATCCAGTTCTTTCTCTATCAAAAATAACTTTGAGATTAAATAAATCATAGATAACTCTATCAAATTCTACTGGATAAAAATCATCTGTAGAGTCTGGATGTTTCAATGTAGGAGGCAAATAAATATATCCTTTCCTACCTTCACCCTCTTAGGATTTCTATTAACTCTTTAATAAGACAGCACTATCATCTTCATTTTCACAATTAACTTCATCCTTCTTGTCCTTAGGTTAAGCTATGGCTCTTTAAGGAAAACCAAATTTATCTGCCAATTATTTAGACACATTTATAAAATCCCTTTCTCCAACTTCATATAAATCAAATCCAGGATCATCATCATCATTATATTCATCTATTATATTTTTATTCTCTTCCATATCATGTAGTACAAATGATTAAGAGTTTTAAAGAAAGAATGAAGAATCATTACATCCACTTTCAGGTCTTATGATAGATGGCATTTTAGCTGTATCTATACCTTCAAATTGTTAATGTTTAGCAGCAGATCTTGATACATCCTCTTCTGTAAATAATTCATCAACTGATGGAGATTTTTCTAAAACCTATTATTTTTAATGTTGTTAAGGTTATTAGATTTTTCCAAATACTATTTAATCTTTTTCTTGAATTTCTAAAATAAATATTAAAACTATATATATTACATTTGCCAAAACAAGGAGCTTATTATTATTATTCTTCACTTGTTTCTGTCCTCTTTTTTTTAAGAATTGAATTTGAAATAGAAGTATTTGAAATATCATGAAATACATCTGCTTAATCCACCATCTTTTAGAATGTAGCATTATCAAAATAACGTTCAATCTTCTCATTAAGTGTTTCATCTTCTAATAGATTTGGTTTTGACACCAATCTATTCATGAATTTTTCCATAATTTATTCTGTCTATTCTTATGTGAATACTTTAGGTTTCCTACGCACTGCTTATCTATCTATCATTGGTTTCTTCTTTTCTTTTTTCTTCTACTCTAAAGCTTAACATATAATGTCTTTCTTATAATTCAAATATTTTTACTCATTAGCATTTATTGTTATTACTTTTCACAGTCAATTTCATTTTTCATCATTACTTAAATATTGATGTTACTTATTTACTTATTTCTTCCTTCAATTTACGGGCTGATTATTAAAGACCAGACTACTCCAAAAATTTAACTATTGTTTTCAGCGCTTCGTTCATTAATTATTTTATTAATATACAAAGATTATCATTATTATAATAACAGTCATTTATATCTTAAATTATTAATCAACTATAATTTATTTTTAATGGCTTTCATATTCTTGAAAATTCCTATTAAAATATATTAATGTCAAATTAAGACATCAATGAACTTCCAGCCCTTAAAGTAAATGTCCCCTCTTTCTTATTGAAAACATATGAAATTCTTGAAGTATACCATTTTTAGCTATTATTTCTTATTCAGAACCCGTCCCTATCCCATATAATTACTTGGAATCAAGAGGGTAATTCATTTATCGTTTTAAATTCACATGAATTGGCTTCCAAGGTTCTTGCAAACTATTTCAAGCATAAAAACTATCCCAGCTTTCTTAGGTTTTCTTTTATTTCATAATAGGTAACTTAATATGTACAGCTTTAAAAAAACCAAAAATAATTATGGACAAAGTGAGTTCAGACATAAATGGTTTAGAAGAGGACTTAAGTAAAAATAATTATCATCATAATCTAGAAGTATGCTTCAATACATTCGTAGGAGAAATTAAGAAGATTCTGAGAATAAAATAGAGATAAAGAATACAAATAATCAAGAAATTGATAATTATAAGTAGGAGCATGATGAAATGAAAAAGTTAGTTCGAGAAATTCAAACTAATTAAGTTCAAATGGAAGTTGATTTCTCAGCATCCATGGAATAAAATGCATCAGCTAATCGATCTAGTTAATCTATTTTGTTGGTATAAAGTCTATTTTTTATTTTTAGTGTCTGAATCAAATGTAATAGTAATTCAATAAAAAATTCGATAATCTTTCCTTACTTCTAGCTAAGATCTGTTCATATATTCCTAATTTAAGTAAATTTTTTTTAATTAATGCAGCTTATTAAATGGGAGACATTTATAAAAACTCCTTTGATGAACCATCACCAAGTAGATTAGAACATAATTATATTGTTCCATATAATGAGATAAATAACTAATATAGCAATATTGGATCACCATACCATTAATATCCTTGTAATAGTCCAATAAATTTTCTTTTGTCCAGATAAAATTAATGTAATGTTGAAAAAAATAAATTCTAGAATTTTAAGATTATTGCTTTTAATTTGATCCTAGTATTTTCTCATTCAATAGATAAAATTAATAATAATAACTTGCCTTACCTGCTCCTGCAATTAATTCATATTTACGTAATAATTAATAAAAAAATTCCTATTATAGCTAGCAATAATTATTCATTACAATCTAGTTCACAAAACTCACCTTATAGAATTGCAAGTCCTTGTCATACATCCTCTACAGATTCTAAAAATCCAGAAAGAGGATAACATTTATTTGAATAACAATAATTTAATTTTTACTAACAAGCATGAATTATAATTATATTTATAATTAAGAAAATTAATTTATTATTTTTATATATAAATATTTTCATTTTTAATCTGGATAAAATTCAATATTTATCAAATTTGTATTTTAGGAAAGTTAGGCAATAAACTTAATAGATTTACATCCTTATAAAGTAGTAGGTTATTATTAAGAAACATCTGTAGATTAATTAATTAAATTATTAGTAGTATTTAATTCTAATTTTCTTTTAGGTGATCCATAAATATTCATTTTTTTCAATAATAATTTTGTTTACTCAGGAGATCGACCTCTTTGAGTCCTCCATCCTTAAGTCTTCTTTCTAACATTAACTGGCAAAGTAAAAGAACTTGAGAAAAGAGGAAGATTTTCAATTTTGTAAATTTTTGGATTCATTCTTAATTTTTAACTTAAATTTTAAGCATTATTTAATGCCTTAATAGGAGTTAATAATAAATCTTTGAATGCACTTCTACCTCTAGGTGAATTAGCTATTTGAGTTTATTATATTGATTTATTTATATCTATTAATTAGATTTCATAATTATCCTTATGTTATAGAGTTCTGACCAAAAACCCTGCATCTTTATCACATATATGATTTTATCTGACAATAAGTTAATTATTTATTTATTATTTCTTATTTTCAATATTTATTTAATTTAGTATTCCTATTCTAAGAACAACATTATCAATATGTTTCTTATTTCTACTCCATGTTTCCAATTCATATATACATATTGGATGATTTAATTAACATTTTTATTTTCTTAAATCTTCAAGAAATGCATTAAGTGATGTAACTCTTTTAGTATCACTTGATTAAACAGTTGATACTACCTAATTAGATATATCTTATCTAATATTTTACAATAATTTATTATTAATATAAATTTTATGATATTCTTCTATAAATATTTATCTATCTTAAAATGTTTATATAAATTATTCTACAGTCATTATTAAACTACAAATATCATTTGCCTGCATCAATAAATCTTCCATAAGAGTAATGTAAGTTAATGTAGATTTAATTTATGCTTTTGAACCTTCAACTAATAGAAGATCAAAAATAGTATCTGTTAATTTATTGTGAAATGTGAAACAACAAACTAACCATTAAATTGTAAATAAACTTGTTTCTACTGATAGATTTTAAAAATGTTCCATCAAATGAGTTTTTTCTTTTTACAGAATTTATCTTATTATTTCATCATCACTTAAAACACCAAACAAATGATTATAATAATTTTGTGGTAAGAGAGTCTCAAATAAATGACATAAAAACCAAAATGC